AAAAGATAGGAATAAATGGTCGCAAGTCAAGATCTGGGTTTGTAGCTGAGGTTATCCCTTGGTGGTATGGATGTGTAGAATTGTGTAAATGTGGGTAAAGTCATCTGGACCATCACTGGAAATTCATTTTAGTGGTACGAGTGTCAGAGTGAGAGATAATATAAGGGTGTGCATATATACAAGCAATTTCCTATTTGTGTGCATGTACACTACATACTCACTTAATTCCCCCTCTGTTTCACCAACATGTGGTTTCATCATACTCCATCTACCACATTGCATTCCATTCATCATTTACCTAATACTAGTACTCTTGCTACAATAGTTTGTAGTATCTAATGTCTCATCCCTCACCCTATCTAGTAGCAAATAAAACTCTTTTCAGTCATGTACAGTAATCCTCCGCTTAGCAACTAGACTGTTCCAGAGAAAATGGTCGCTAAGCAATTTCTGCACTTAGTGAACCCCATTTCTTCATAGATACCCCATGTTATAATCAAGATGTGCTCTGGGAAAACAATTTCCAATAATACAAATAAATCCATTCATTAACACAAGGATTTGGCAGGCAACAAAAGCCTGTACACGTGGAATAAACATATGCAAGTAAACAAAGTGCAAAATATAATTATGTTAATAGTACTATTTGAAATTGAATACTTCTCTCTCTTTTAAAAACTGCATTTCTTATTTTATATATTACTGTTTAGTAAATGCATAGCATGCTCATATTTTGAAGGTAAAAATATTTTAAATCAAGCAAAATAATATTTTGCTTAATTAGAAATAAAAGACCGATTTTTTTCATTTTTCTCAGTTGTTTATTGATCAAATGCATCATACTTTTAGTACAGCAGACCATCAATTAGAGTGCAATTATGACCCTAAAAATTGTCATGTAATTTAATTTACCTTTAAATAATCTTATGAACATATGGGAAAAATAGGATTACATTCCAGAGCTTCAAAAATGTCCCCAAAATATTTTTACAATAGTATCCTAATACCTTAAAAATAACACAATTTATCTTACTTTATATTTCGTTAGTCATAATTTGAAGAGTGAGTGAAGTTAATGTGGGCCTACAGGGGTGAGTTAAATAAAGGGAGGTTTATCATTGCTCATACACTCTCTGGATGCCAAGAAATGTAAAAATATCGCACATATCTTTACCAAATCATACCAAACACACTGGAATTCGCCACACCTATACCAAACAAAAATATACCAAAGATAAATGAAGATGATAAAATCAAAGTAAAGAAAATAAAGCCACATTTTCATACCAAATATATAGAAACTCACCACACTTATACAAAAATGATGGTATATAAGACTGTGTCTGGGAGACATGGAGAAAGAAGACTATGGCTTTGGCTCTCAGCAGTATTGAGTGACTACAGATTTCTACTGTTACCTAACTCTTCAATACATATCTGAATTATTTGTACAACTTTCCTTTTGTATGATTTATACATGAGGACTAAAAATGTTGTGTTTAGTAGAAGATAAAGCAACACCATATACTTTGGCCCAAACCAAAGCTAGAGTCGGTAGGAAAATGAAACGTCCCCAACTCCACCTTCAAGACATTACTGTTTTTTTTTTTTTAACACGTTGGGCGTTTCCCATTAAGGCAGCGTGACCCAAAAAGAAAAACCCAAAAAGAAAGAAAAAACTTCATCATCTTTCAACACTTTCATACATAATCACTGTCTTTGCAGAGGCACTCAGATACAACAGCTTAGATGTCCCTCCAAATTGCCAATTTTCCAACCCCTTCCTTTAACCCTTTGACTGTTGCAACCCCAAATCTTGAAGTGTCTCCTGGTGTCGCAAAATATTTGAAAAAAAAAAAAAACTCTCATGAAATGACAGAAAATCTTTTCCTGATGATAATGACACCAAAGTACAAAATTTGATGGAAAACTTATGGAATTACACTCTCGCAAATTTAGCGACCTCGGCGACATTTACGCATCGGTGATTTTGCCCACTTTGAGCCCTATTTTTGGCCAATTCCACTGTTCCAGCCAACCAAACTCATAGCTATTTCTTTAGAACTCCATTTGTTCTATCGACTGAGTACAAGAAACTGCCCATTTACCAATTTCAACAACCCAATAAGGTGGTCAGAAATTGGCAATTTGGCCAACTTCATGCAAATTAAAAAATATGTCAATTTCAAAATAGGGTCCAGAATGAACAATGCAGACATTCCTGGCACTAAAATAGTATTTTCTCTGTTCATCAGTCACTTCTCCAGGCCCCTCTTATAATACTCTTGCTTTCTATTTTGAATTTTTATTTACACAAAAAATAGAAGATTTACTGTTATGCAGACTACTGCAATATTGTAATAATTGTATAAGTAATGTCAACCCATTCGTGACTGCATATCAGAATGGCTAGTTGGACATTTATTGAATAATGACATCATTTGTTTACTCTTGAACATCGGCAAAAATCGAACGTTTCTGCCACTTTGAGCTCCATTTCAAGATCCTTTTCATAATAAAACCAATCAAAATCACTTCTATTTCTATAATATGTTTTCCATTCTATCAAATGAGACCAAGAAAACAAGAATACAACCATAAATTCTATACGAAAATACACCGGCGTTTTAATCCAAACACACGGTCGGAGTTTTTTTTCTCATTATGCACTGCCTGCTGCAGGATTTTTTTTATACTGTGCACACTGACTACACAGACCCTCTCTCACATGTGGGCCTACCAACTTTCTCCTGCTTGATTTGAAGCCGCTAGAATTTTTGAGTTATAATATATACGTCAAACGCATTGGCTCGTAAGACGTATATATACGACCGAAACAGTCAAAGGGTTAATGTGCAGGCATTACTGTTGATAAAATGATAATATAACAGGGACATCAGCAGGCAGGAGACTACCCTTTACATCTTCCCTAATTTTATTAGCTATTTAAATTAAATAATTCATGTTAAGCATTAAACCCATGTGAGTCATTCAAGACATGGTGAGGCTCAATCCTCCATCTGCTGAGTGCAAAACAGACACTCTTCCTAGAATATGCAATGTGTTTGTTGAGTCAGCTGATGTCAAAGTAGTGCCTAGGTGAAGATACATACTATACCTTCACTATAACCTGTCTAGTTTAAGCACTTTTTCACTCTTTATTATCGATCACCAATATTTTCAACAACTGGACAAGTACAGCTAGAATACGTACACCACTGTTAAAGATAAGGGAATGTGTAATTACAGTTTAAGTATAACACTGTACAATAATCTTGGTATACATTATTCTTGGTATTAGTAACTAAATATTCTATTTAAACTCTTTTTATACAGGTTTTTATCACAATGAATGTCTCCCACTAAGGTAGGGTGACCCAAAAAAGCAAACACTGTTTATTCAATAGCTGTCTTGCCTAAAGTCCTAAAGTACAGCACAGACATCACAATTCAAATGACTCTCCAACTTCAACATTCCCCACCACCTCACAGATGAAAGTGTTTCATATAAATAAATCATTCATAAGTTACAATATATAAATTTGAAAAAAACATGAGTTAGATAAGAATAGTGTAGTCTGGTGGACAAGACTTGGTCTCGCTTAACAAAGAGGGAAAGCTCAGGGCTTAGGGGTAACTGTTCATGGCCAAGCAAGTAGATTGAAAAAAAATTGTGGAAGGAACTGTGGTACCTAAATTTCCTGCATTAGTGTACTAATTTATTTAAATTTATGGTGAGCAATATTTATCACCGCCCATGCTCTATTTTTTCCCGCTACATTTTTTAATTGTGTAAAGACAATATTGCATAGTCTAACTGCACTCTTAATTGATCATCTACTATATGTATTATACTGTGTATTATATATATTATCATTTAGTGTGTGTGTGTGTATTTAGTGAACCCAAATTTTTTATATACTGGTCTGGGACTAAGCCACAGGGGTGATGACCTCTGGTGGCAACTTCAGGTAAACTTCAAGTAAACTACCTTGTTTTTAAAATTATAGTGTAACATCTGGCCCATAGCCAGTCTCTGACAGTAGAAAACTCTCAGAATTCATCATCAATGGTATATCTTTATTATGTACACCTACAAACTGGTACACAAATTGCTATGTTCCAGAATGGTTAACAGGAAAAAATATTCAAGTTTTTTTCCTCAGCTTCTGTTTTCAGTTTACTGGATCTCTGTAATGTTTGTCAAAATTTTCTAGATCTATTCAAAAACCAGCCACTGACTCTACCAGATCCTACTGAAGCTGTGTATCTGGCAAGTAGCTCCACCACAGCTGCAAGGCATCGCACCACTGAAGCCAATATTAGAAAGCTGGTGGTCAATCAGCCATATTAGGATGGACACAGAGCACACAGCAATGCTGCTTAATGTTACTATTTAACTTTTCATGGAACAAGAATTAGAAATGCTAGATTTTCATCTTATAAACTTAATATTGTACGTGATTTACACTCTTGAATTAGAGAGAGAGAGAAAAAGAAATACTAAGCCAGCTAATGTTGCAGTACCAAGTGACCTGCATACAGACAAAACAATGATGTGCCAATCATTAATTTCATCAGAAACCACTACTGAATACATTATGGTGCAATTCCATATTTCCTAATGGGAATACTCCTCCACATGATGTACACTATACAAGTGTGTGTACTTGAAAGAGGACAACAGTTGCCATCAATAGTAGGTACCATTTTTTTTTCTTTGCCTACGTTTTTGTTTATTCTGAACTGGTTTTTGGTTTACTTCAGAATGCCTCATGTCCTGACTCTTCCATATTAACAGTGTCTGACTGAAATGGAAGTCCTTACAAGAGGTCATTATATGAGGCATTATAAGCGCCAAACAAATCTGTTCATATCTGTATGTTTGTTTGCGAAGAAAATTTATGTAAGCCTATTGGTTGTTATGCGGAAGATTATTGTACTAACTTTTCAAAGTTATTCTTTCATACTTCACTTGGCTTTTGCTAACTGTTACTCACTCATTTTTACGTATTGGCCTGTACCCTTTCTGCAGGCGAATTTGTTGGATGCTCTCACGGACTTCATTTTCTGAGTGGCGCTTCTGGGTGTTGGCATCAATGTAGTCTCCAATTGGTATTTTACTTGAGAAACTGAAGTTATCTCTGGTGACTTCCATTATACCATTCTTCTCCAGATACTGCAAAAGATAAAGAAATTATAAAGAATGACTTCTACTACTAAATCACTATGTAGTATATTAACTGTATAATAATAAAATAAAGTAAAACATTCTCTGTATAAGAACAATTTTATTAAAAGGCATTCACTGAAACAAACAAAATTGTCCCACTGGCCTGGTCTAAAACCAAGAAAACTTGAAAGAATTATAATTACTATTGCAAAAGATCTGGATACAAGTAAAACTCAATTAGTACAGTACAGTAATATTTATGTATAACAGTGAACATGTACAATAATTCATAACATAAGGATAGGATATAACATAGCACAGGATATAAGTCAGAGTTAGTGCATGAACATCTGAAGGCAAAGAGAAAGGTAGGGTGGAATAGTGATCAAGATGTGTGAGGATAATTTTTTAATTGCTTTCCTATTATATTGTGCTACCTTTACTGGGTTTGGCACAAACCTGGCACTTGGGCTTATGCAACAATCTTAAAGCAGTAGAGGGTTCTTCTGCTTAGAGATCAAGGATACCCATATCCTTCCATATCTGGATGAACATTGCCTTCCTAGATGAGTCTGGATGTGATTTGGGTGTACTTTCCTTCCTGGAATGGTCTGGATGTGTCTACCATCAGAGAGATTGAATTCTTCCTCCATTCTTGGATGGTGCTGGAGGTACATCTCTACAGGTGAATAGGGACCCCTACGTAGTACCTAGTTCAAGTAATGACCTTCGCTAAATTCACAGACCATGATACAAGGTCTTTTTCCAACAGTTCAAAGTGATGATCAGGTGGGATTTGAGGAGATCACCTATGAAGATTCGTATTGTGCTCACTGTAAATCTTAGTCATTCTCATTGCTCTGATCCTCAGTGCTGACAATAACAGTTCCTAATTCACAATTTTCTCACATTAAGAGTGTTCTATCTGCCCTGGCAAAAAAACAACAAATCTTAGGTCACCCTGTGGTCCAGAAGCTACAAAGTGGTTAAAAAGACACACCGTAAAAAAAGAGACTATTAATATGTCTCACCTTCAAGAGACTTTATCACACTTGATAAAGCCTCATGTAGATGAAACATCAAAATAAAAAGATTTTCATATGATATACAGTTTTTCGTAATTAATCCGTTCCAGAGAGAGTGACATTATCAAAATTGACGATTTGCAAATCCATTTTCTCCATAAGAAATAATGTAAATCCAATTAATTCGTTCCAGACACCCAGAAGTATCAACAACAATTCTTTTTTTTACCTTAAAGATAGATTTACATACACAAAAGAATGAACATTCAACATGACAGTTACTTTATTGAAAGCTGTTGTTGATGAATGGAAGACAGGGAGGAGGAGAGAGGGAAGAGAGGATATTGTTTGGAAGAGGAATCCCCCTCCATAAGGACTCTAGGTCACTTCAGGGGTCACTTCCCTAGCTTAAATATAGATTTACATCCAGAAAAGAATGTCATATAAATGTAAAGCACTAATAAAATGTATAAATGAACATTTAACCCTTTGACAGTTTCAGGCCCCTCTCTGAAACTGTCATTCTATGTCGCTCAATTTTTGAAAAAAAAAAAAAAAATTTTTTCTTATGAAATGATAAGAGAATTTTTTCCCGATGGTAATGACACCAAAAGTTCAAAATTTGGTCGAAAACTCATGGAATTATGCTCCCGCGAATTTAGCGGTCTCGGCGACATATGCGTATCAGCGATTTTGCCGACTTTGAGCCCTATTTTCAGCCAATTCCATTGTTCCAGTTGACCAAACTCATAGCGATTTCTTTAGAACTTCATTTTATCTATCAGCTGAGTACAAGAAACCTCCCATTTACTAATTTGGACTACCCAATATGGTGGTCAGAAATTGGCAATTTGGCCAATTTCACGCAAACTAAAGAAGATGCCAATTTCAAAATAGGGTCCAGAATAAACAAGGTAGACATTCATGGCACTAAAATAACATATGCTCTGTTCATTAGTCACATCACTAGGCCCCTCTTACATTATTATTGCTTTCTATTTTGATTTTTTATTCATACAAAAAAATACAAAATTTACTGTTATGCAGACTACTGCATTATTGTAAAAATGGTATAAATAATATCAGTGCACTAGTGAAAGAATATTTGACTCCCCAGTTGACGTGTATTGGACGTGTGGTGTGATTTATTTCGTGTGGTGTGATTTATTTACTCCTGAACATTGGTAAAAATCGAACATTTCCGCTACTTTGAGCTCAGTTTCAAGGTCGTTTTCATCGTCAAAGTAATGAAAATCATCTCTATTTCTGTAATACGTTTCCCATCTTATCACCTAAGACCATGAAAACGCGAATACAACGATAAATACTATACGAAAATACACCTCAAAGTCGGCGTTTTATTCCAAAAAAACGATCAGTTTTTTTTTTTCTCATTATGCAATGTGTGCTGCAGGATTTTTTTTTATGTGGTGCACACTGACCACACAGACCCATTCTCTCACATGTGGGCCTACCAGCTTTCTCCCGCTTGATTTGAAGCCGCTAGAATTTTTTTTTTTTTTTTTTTTTTTTTTTTCAACAAGTCGGCCGTCTCCCACCGAGGCAGGGTGACCCAAAAAAGAAAGAAAATCCCCAAAAAGAAAATACTTTCATCATCATTCAACACTTTCACCACACTCGCACATTATCACTGTTTTTGCAGAGGTGCTCAGAATACAACAGTCTAGAAGCATAAACATATAAAGATACACAACATATCCCTCCAAACTGCCAATATCCCAAACCCCTCCTTTAAAGTGCAGGCATTGTACTTCCCATTTCCAGGACTCAAGTCCGACTATATGAAAATAACCGGTTTCCCTGAATCCCTTCACTAAATATTACCCTGCTCACACTCCAACAGATCGTCAGGTCCCAAGTACCATTCGTCTCCATTCACTCCTATCTAAACACGCTCACGCACGCTTGCTGGAAGTCCAAGCCCCTTACCCACAAAACCTCCTTTAACCCCCTCTCTCCAACCCTTTCGAGGACGACCCCTACCCCGCCTTCCTTCCCCTATAGATTTATATGCTTTCCATGTCATTCTACTGTGATCCATTCTCTCTAAATGACCAAACCACCTCAACAACCCCTCTTCTGCCCTCTGACTAATACTTTTATTAACTCCACACCTTCTCCTAATTTCCACACTCCGAATTTTCTGCATAATATTTACACCACACATTGCCCTTAAACAGGACATCTCCGCTGCCTCCAACCGTTCTCCTCGCTGCTGCATTTACCACCCAAGCTTCACACCCATATAAGAGTGTTGGTACTACTATACTTTCATACATTCCCTTCTTTGCCTCCATAGATAACGTTTTTTGACTCCACATATACCTCAACGCACCACTCACCTTTTTTCCTCATCAATTCTATGATTAACCTCATCCTTCATAAATCCATCCGCCGACACGTCAACTCCCAAGTATCTGAAAACATTCACTTCTTCCATACTCCTCCTCCCCAATTTGATATCCAATTTTTCTTTATCTAAATCATTTGACACCCTCATCACCTTACTCTTTTCTATGTTCACTTTCAACTTTCTACCTTTACACACATTCCCAAACTCATCCACTAACCTTTGCAATTTTTCTTTAGAATCTCCCATAAGCACAGTATCATCAGCAAAAAGTAACTGTGTCAATTCCCATTTTGAATTTGATTCCCCATAATTTATCCCACCCCTCTCCCAAACACCCTAGCATTTACTTCCTTTACAACCCCATCTATAAATATATTAAACAACCATGGTGACATTACACATCCCTGTCTAAGACCTACTTTTACCGGGAAGTAGTCTCCCTCTCTTCTACACACCCTAACCTGAGCCTCACTATCCTCATAAAAACTCTTTACAGCATTTAATAACTTACCACCTATTCCATATACTTGCAACATCTGCCACATTGCTCCTCTATCCACTCTATCATATGCCTTTTCTAAATCCATAAATGCAATAAAAACTTCCCTATCTTTATCTAAATACTGTTCACATATATGCTTCAATGTAAACACCTGATCTACACATCCCCTACCCACTCTAAAACCTCCTTGCTCATCCGCAATCCTACATTCTGTCTTACCTCTAATTCTTTCAATTATAACCCTACCGTACACTTTTCCTGGTATACTCAGTAAGCTTATTCCTCTATAATTTTTACAGTCTCTTTTGTCCCCTTTCCCTTTATATAAAGGGACTATACATGCTCTCTGCCAATCCCTAGGTACCTTCCCCTCTTTCATACATTTATTAAACAAAAGTACCAACCACTCCAACACTATATCCCCCCCTGCTTTTAACATTTCTGTCATGATCCCATCAGTTCCAGCTGCTTTACCCCCCTTTCATTTTACGTAATGCCTCACGTACCTCCCCCACACTTACATTCTGCTCTTCTTCACTCCTAAAAGATGGTATACCTCCCTGACCAGTGCATGAAATTACTGCCTCTGTTTCTTCCTTAACATTTAAAAGTTCCTCAAAATATTCTCGCCATCTACCCAATACCTCCATCTCCCCATCTACTAACTCCCCTACTCTGTTTTTAACTGACAAATCCATATTTTCCCTAGGCTTTCTTAACTTGTTTAACTCACTCCAAAATTTTTTCTTATTTTCATTAAAATTTCTTGACAGTGCCTCTCCCACTCTATCATCTGCTCTCCTTTTGCACTCTCTCACCACTCTCTTTACCTTTCTTTTACTCTCCATATACTCTGCTCTTCTTATAACACTTCTGCTTTGTAAAAACCTCTCATAAGCTACCTTTTTCTCTTTTATCACACCCTTTACTTCATCATTCCACCAATCACTCCTCTTTCCTCCTGCCCCCACCCTCCTATAACCACAAACTTCTGCCCCACATTCTAATACTGCATTTTTAAAACTATTCCAACCCTCTTCAACCCCCCCACTACTCATCTTTGCACTAGCCCACCTTTCTGCCAATAGTCGCTTATATCTCACCCGAACTTCCTCCTCCCTTAGTTTATACACTTTCACTTCCCTCTTACTTGTTGTTGCCACCTTCCTCTTTTCCCATCTACCTCTTACTCTAACTGTAGCTACAACTAAATAATGATCCGATATATCAGTTGCCCCTCTATAAACATGTACATCCTGGAGCCTACCCATCAACCTTTTATCCACCAATACATAATCTAATAAACTACTTTCATTACGTGCTACATCATACCTTGTATATTTATTTATCCTCTTTTTCATAAAATATGTATTACTTATTACCAAATTTCTTTCTACACATAGCTCAATTAAAGGCTCCCCATTTACATTTACCCCTGGCACCCCAAATTTACCTACTACTCCCTCCATAACATTTTTACCCACTTTAGCATTAAAATCCCCAACCACCATTATTGAGTATATATACGTCAGAAACATTGGCTCGTAAGAAAACAGTCAAAGGGTTAACATCACACTTACCTTTATTGAAGACTTTTGTTGATGTATGGCAGACGGGGCAGAGGGAGGGGAGGCGAGTTTATTGTTGGAGAATATAACACTAATATCAACTCTATGGCTTATTTATCTAACACAATTCAACTAATATGACATAATAAACAATATTAATAACATAGAAACACAGAACATACTCTAGAATGAATAAAATGTCACAAGAGGTGTTGTGTTGTGTTGTTGTTGTTGGGTGTATAAGGGCCACTGAGAACATAAGCTGTCCATAATGTTGGTGAAGCAGCAGCTGAGGCAGCAGTGTTTTCTGTAGCCCTATATAACTCCAACAACATTGGAGGAGTTGGTAGAATCGCTGAATCACTGAAGAAGGCACTCTCTACCATCATCACAATCACTACCACCCTCTACCACCATCACTACCACCTTCATCCACTATCACAACTGCTACCACCATCACTACCACCTTCTACCACCATCACTACCACTGTCTACCATTATTACAACCACTACCACCCTCTACCACCATCAATACCACCTTCTACCACTATCACAACTGCTACCACCATCACTACCACCTTCTACCACCATCACTACCACCATCTACCACTATCACAACCACTACCACCCTCTACCACCATCACTACCACCTTCTACCACTATCACAACTGCTACCACCATCACTACCACCCTCTACCACCATCACTACCACCCTCTACCACTTTCATCCACTATCACAACTGCTACCACCATCACTACCACCTTCTACCACCATCACTATCACCATCTACCACTATCACAACCACTACCACCCTCTACCACCATCACTACCACCTTCTACCACTATCACAACTGCTACCACCATCACTACCACCCTCTACCACTATCACAACTCCTAGCACCCTCTACCACCATCACTACCACCCTCTACCACTATCCCAACTACTAGCACCCTCTACCACTATCACAACTGCTACTGCCATCACTACCACCATCACTACCACCCTCTACCACTATCACAACTCCTAGCACCCTCTACCACCATCACTACCACCCACTACTGCTATCACAACTGCTAGCACCCTCTACCACTATCACAACTGCTACCACTCTACTACCACCACCACCTTCGCATTTTTCTACAAACTTTTTCTTAAATTATATGTGTTTCTCACATTCTTTACCAAAGGGCTGGCACTAGAAGCTTTCTTTGGAGCCATGGTGACTTATTTAGCAGTTGCAAGCACTAAAACGAATGGAATATTATGAAATGTATCGTATGAACTCGTGGGATCATCCTCACTCACTGATAAACTATGACACACTGGCTGGGAATGGAGTGTGAGGCAGCTTGGGGCTGTGTGTAAGCATCCCAGACGAACGACTATTTGCGAGTCAAACGACGATTCGTGAGTCAATGTTTTGATGAAAACGTTACGATTTTCGAAAATTACGACTTTCGAGCCTTATGATTATCAAGGGTCCACTGTATGCCTTTTAGTCACGTGTCAGTTATGCCATAATCAAATAGCTCAAGAATGGCTTCCCCACCACAAAAACACTGAGTTTTGCTGGTACCCAAGCCAATATATGTTGGGGTCCAGGGTAATGAATGAACAGATGCTTCTTTGCTATATTCATTCATAAAATTGAGAATAAATATAGGATAGCAACTTTTCTAACCCATTCAAGAAAAATACCATACCTCTCTGAGAAACCTAAACTATTCGCTTAATCACAAATAATTCTGCTCTTATTAACTCTAGCGAATCATTTATACCTGCCTTAGATAAACCAACATGTTATAAGTATTTGTATGAGGATCTTTTAAAAATTTTCAAACATGGCCATCTAATATGATAATTTCAACTTATGAAATCCTTCTTGCATCTACTCTATTTATGCCATATCAATAAGTAACAGCTACACAAGAATATCTGTATATGACATTAAACATAACTATGATAACATTAATTTCTATTGATTAGAATTTTTTTTTTAACAAGTCGGCCGTCTCCCACCGAGGCAGGGTGACCCAAAAAAAGAAAGAAAATCCCCAAAAGAAAATACTTTCATCATCATTCAACACTTTCACCACACTCACACATAATCACTGTTTTTGCAGAGGTGCTCAGGACACAACAGCTTAGAAGCATATACCTATAAAGATACACAACATATCCTTCCAAACTGCCAATATGTTATCATAAATTAATGTTATCATATCAGGTCACCTAAATGTTATTAATCTCTACACTAACTCCGCTCAATCTTTTACAAACTGAAATATGGTTATTAGTCAGCTAAAAGTAGTACAGATAAATGTATATATAAAAAATTCTAATCAACCACTGTAAAAAAAAAAAAAGCTTCAAAATGATTCCTCACCCTCATAATGTCAGGATATTGACGAAATGGCTTGCCACATGGTGCATAGTAAATCACTTCACCACGAACTCCAGACTGGGTAATCGTTCGCATGGTTGTCTCTCTTCTCCAGCCATACATCAGGGGAACTCTAAGTGAAACTTCATCTGTAATCATCTTCCGTTTTTTGGTAGGAGGAGCTAAGAGAAAACAAAATAAAACTATTACATAAATTTTAAAAACAAAACAATTCTGCATGTTTTAAAAGTGAAAAAAAACATACATATACAAAGATATTTGATGTACAAAAAATTAAGAGATGAAATGTGATTCTGTAAAATATTTTAACACAAGTCACAGTCTATGCATGTGACTTCGTTTCTCAAAACTTTTGCAGTGTAACACATTTACATGGTAAGCAGTCACTTAGTATAGATCCTCTGTCTCATTATGTTCCTAACATTCTGATATCATACAGATTACAGAAGATTTTTCTTTTTGGGGTTTCCTTTCTTTTTTGGGTCACCCCTCAGTGGGAAACAGCCAAAGTGTTCAAAAAAAATAAAAAATTTATTATCTCCCTCTCCCACATTTTCTACTTCTCGGGGGAATGTGCGGATTTGACTTACGGTGTATATTAGAGTAAAGCCTGACTGTTTAATTTGACACTTAATTTTTTTTTAAATTATTACTTCTCATGTATCTCAGGTGTAATTCTATCCTAGGGTTTGAAAGACAGCAGAGCAACTTTTGAGATAAAGTAGTGTACTGGGTATTGGTATTATGCTGTTCTGTGCAAGAAAATGGGAGTCTCTAAATCTTATGGTTCTTCTTATTTCGTTTAGTCAAACAAATATCAGAAAAGATTAAAATAAAGTGAAAATTAATTTCTAATTGAGATGACATTGTGTTGGAGTCATTGTATCAAGGTCAGGCGAGTGCAATGTCTTATTCCATGCAGAAAATAAAGTTAGTGTTTCAATCTAAGGTAACAAGGAGAGAGGAGCATTGCAATAGGCCTACTGGCTAGTTCTAGGTAGGTCTTACTCATCCAAGTCATCTGCACTCATTAACAACTATATTGACAAACCAATTCTATTTTACATAAGAACTTACTTACTGGCCTATGCTAGGCAAGTTCTACTCTTCTGCAACCATTCCTACCCATATAAAACTCTGCTGCCAAACCAGTGCTTTCCTACATAAAAACATTAAAATCTATGATCACTGCAGTAGGCTGACTAGCCCATCCCCACTCAATATATTTGTCAACCATTTTTGGAATTGTGTACCACTAGTAAATGCCTCAAACTACATTTCCAGGGGATGGAGTACCTGAAGCTAACTTTGTCTGTCATTTACATATCCCTCAGACTGTGGTCACAAGTACAGTACTGTAATAATCAGCCATTTCAGCATTTGAGATTCCTGTATGTTTAGCTCTGGCATGCAGGATCTGTGTAATGAATATAGAAATAAAGGAATACAAAAATAAAGAGGGAGGGGGTAAAGGAGGTTGTGTGGGCGAGGGGCTTAGACTTCCAGCAAGCGTGCGTGAGCGTGTTAGATAGGAGTGAATGGAGACAGATGGTATTTGGGACCTGATGAGCTGTTGGAGTGTGAGCAGGGTAATATTTAGTGAAGGGATTCAGGGAAACCGGTTATTTTATATAGCTGGACTTGAGTCCTGGAAACGGGAAGTACAATGCCTGCACTCTAAAGGAGGGGTTTTCGAATATTGGCAGTTTGGAGGGATATGTTGTGTATCTTTATATGTATATACTTCTAAACTGTTGTATTCTGAGCACCTCTGCAAAAACAGTGATTATTTGTGAGTGAGGTGCAAGTGTTGAATGATGATGAAAGTATTTTCTTTTTGGGGATTTTCTTTCTTAATGGGTCACACTGCCTCGGTGGGAGATGACCGACTTGTTAAAAAAAAAAAAAAAAATGTAATGAATAAAGAAATAACATGCTGATTTTTTAAATACACTATCTGTTTATTGGCTATTTCCCACCAAGGTAAGGCGACAAAAAAAAAAAGGGAAAAACATTCACCATAATTCATTCATAGCTGTCCTGCCAGAAGTGAGCAGAAATCACAATTCAAATGACTCTGAAATGCAGCATTCCCACCCCTCCTCCTGACTGCAGGCAGTCAACACTTTTTTCTTTTTTTTTTTAACAAGTCGGCCGTCTCCCACCGAGGCAGGGTGACCCAAAAAGAAAAAATCCAAAAAAGAAAACACTATCATCATCATTCAACACTTTCACCTCACTCACACATAATCACTGTTTTTGCAGAGGTGCTCAGAACACAACAGTTTAGAAGCATATACGTATCAAGATACACAATGTATCTCTCCAAACTGCTAATATCTCGAAACCCCTCCTTTAGAGTGCAGGCATTGTACTTCCCATTTCCAGGACTCAAGTCCGGCTATATAAAAATAACCGGTTTCCCTGAATCCCTTCACTAAATATTACCCTGCTCACACTCCAACAGCTCATCAGGTCCCAAATACCATCTGTCTCCATTCACTCCTATCTAACACGCTCATGCACGCCTGCTGGAAGTCCAAGCCCCTCGCCCACAAAACCTCCCTTACCCCTTCCTTCCAACCTTTTCGAGGACGACCCCTACCCCGCCTTCCTTCCCCTACAGATTTAAATGCTCTCCATGTCATTCTACTTTGATCCATTCTCTCTAAATGACCAAACAACCTCAACAACCCCTCTTCAGCCCTCTGACTAATACTTTTATTAACTCCACACCTTCTCCTAATTTCCACACTCCAAATTTTCTGCATAATATTTACACCACACCACACCTCCTCGCTGCTGCATTCACAACTCAAGCTTAACACCCATATAAGAGTGTTGGTACTACTATACTTTCATACATTCCCTTCTTTGCCTCCATAGATAACGTTTTTTGTCTCCACATATACCTCAACGCACCACTCACCTTTTTTCCCAAAATAGAAAGCAGTAGTTTGGTAATGGTTGCAGATGAGTGTAACAAAAGTTTTACTTAGTTTGGACAGATACATAAGTGGCAATGGTTGGGAGATTTAGATCTGCTTAACATGAGCCAGTAAGTCTAATGCAGTCCTCTCCTATTATTGAGCATATGTTCTTATATAGGAATTAACACACTAGTTTGCCAGCAATTGTAGATGAGTGGAAATAAAATATAAATTACCCATACATGCTCTCTAATGTATACACAGCTAAATTTCCACCACATACAGTGAAAATGAATCTGGCCACATGGCATACTTGACAAATCTCACGATCCCTATAAATTCCTCTCCATCTTATAATCTTAAACTCCCTCATCCAATAATCTCTAATGTGTCTTTTATCACCATTTTGTATGAGGGAGAAGGAATATTTATTAATAAATGTATAATTTCCTTGTTTTTTGAACTCTGAAGTCTCAAATTTCTGACAAGGCACTAGGAAAGACTGAAAAGTTATGTAATAATCATTTAGCAATTTCAATGATACTTACAGTCACTGCGAACTGATGGGGAATCTGGTGTGTCTCGTTTTAACCATGGCGAGGGTATGTGATTCATGGTCTCATCATCAATGGAGGAAAGTGATGTAGATTCATCTTCTGATTCAGAATCACTGAGTTCTGAAGAATCCAAGGCACCTGTGGCAGCTTTGATGGTAGTGATAAGGCGCCCATCTACACTACTAGAAGTTATCATGTGCCGTTTTTTTACTGGCTTGTCACCTCCATTCTCATGTGCTCGACTCACTGCCACAATATCAACCTGTTGCAAAATACAATATAAAAATCAAATGTTTAAAAAGTGAAATAGAGTGAGCAAAAATCTGATGATGCACAGTGACTCATGAATGATAACAATTGCAGTAAGAGTTGGAAATTTATGCAAATTTTGTCATCTGCATAAAAAAAAAATCACAAAAAAAGTCATGTAAAGTGTGCATACAATCCATAAATTTAGTTTGAATGTGGTAGCCATCAAGCAAGTTGTGGTGACCAGCTTCAAGAAGAATCCACTTTCACTGAAGCAAGCAGGAATATATAAGCTACTTATTTAAAGTTAGTAGAAGTATGAACACAAAAATAGATAGAGAGGGTGAATTTAAACCCTCATTTCACAACCTTCAATGGTTATGAAAATAATTGATAAAGACGTCACTCACCGAATTCTCCACCTCCCCAGGATCCTTTCCTCTGTCTTGGGTATCAGCAGTTGATGTGGTTGGGTGAATTGTGACACTTGGTTTATTGAGTATTGATGTCATGGTGGTTTCTGGAGTGACAGAAGTAATACTAACAGAGGAAGAAAGAGACAAGGCTGGTGGGAGAGAAACAGGAAGAGGAGTGGCCACTGATGAAGTAATGGATACTGAAGGATGAGTAGTACATGATGATGATGACGATGATAATATTGATGACGTTAATGACAGTATCGATGGTGATGCTGTTGTTGATGTTGTAGTTGTTGATGAAGACGATGATGATAATAACGATGATGATGATGATAATAATGATGATGATAATAATGCTGATAATGATGATGATGATGATATTGATGTTGACGATGAAGTGGAAGATGAGGTACTAGATGAGGTGGTCATGGGTGTTGAGACAACAGAGGAGGTAGAGGTTGTACTGGAGGTGGTAATAGTGGTAGGCTCAGTAGAGATAGCAGGTGAGGTTGTAACTGCAGAAATTGAGAGAGAGGGCACTGGAGGGGTAGGAATAGGTGGAGGAGGGGCAGGTGACCCAATAGAGGCAGACAATGATGAAGGAAGGTTTGCAGGGAGTCCAGGTATTAAGGTAGGTGGAAGAGACTGTGATGCTGGCGAAGGAGAAGACGAAGACGATGAATTAAATGTTGGAGACGTCGAGGTGATGGAGAGAGATTCCCCCGTTCGCGGACATGCCACATGTAAGGGTGGAGAGGTAGTGACTGGAGTAGCAGCAATGGAGGTAGTTGGAGGCAGAGGTAGGCTTGAAGGCTTTATGCCTGCTGCACGACACTGCTCCAGTAATGAAGCAACTGTGTTTTTCTTCGGTTTGGAGACTCCTCGCCCTAGATGCCGTGCCCGTTCCTGAGCATCCTCCATCTGATAAAAAGACTGCCTGTGAGCCTTGTCCCTCTGGTGAATAAAGTGGAACTTTAATGGAAAATGAGAAAAAGTATTTCCTTTTTAATTTGTCAAAAATTTGGTATTATAATTCTTTAATTCCACTTCCTTTATTATCAAACTAAGTCCTTTATAAATCACTAAGATGTAGTATCTCTCTTGATGTATACTTATGAAGAATCCCAGTTACACAAAATACCGTCCAAACATCTTCAGATATCTTCTTCTAATTTTGCAAGTAATCCACAAATTGGAAATGAAAACTAGACAGATGTTTTGACTGATCCTGAGCAATTAACAAGTCAGAGATGATTAAGAAAAGGGAAGAAAGCTATGAGTCAGGTCAAATCTTGTGTGTTCTGAAGATAAGAGCATTCAACAATGCACCTGGAGTGACAAGCATCTACAGAAACAAAGATAGTGTCAGTGACGATTCAATAACAGAGAAATAATTTTGAAAGAGGGCCAACTTATGGAATGGCTATAGTCCCGAACCTAACAGAAAAGTTATGTTAGAGTAAGCCTAGTTAACACTTTTGTGTTTTTATTAGAAAAATGACTAGTTTCACAAATATATTTCTGAGTAAAAAATTCAAATTCAAATTCAAAGTTTATTCTCTATAAGGATTACAATGCTGAGTTTACAGAATTTGGTTATTGTGTGGTTTACATGTAGTAAAATACTAATTACAGAGGGTGCCACTAGAACACCTAGCATGGCTAGGCATTTCGGGCAGACTTAGATTAATTCTTAACTTTAAATTATTACAAATTATGAGGTAAGTTGGTATTATGGCTAAGTGACTAAATACTAGTTTGTGAGTTTAGCAATGTGAATGCTTTTGTTTTGGCACAATACATAGTTTCAGTATTGGAGTATCACAGGCCAACTTATGACTAGTTAGGATTCATTATTTTAAGATTGAGATTGATATTTCTGTTTATGGTCAAATGGGTGAGTGAATGTAAGTGTAACCACCTGCAGTATCAGTGGTAGGAGAAGTAGTATATTTGTTAACGATTGATTTGAACCAGACGGCTTCAAAGTTCCTTAATTTAATGAAATGAGGACTAAGGGTTTATTAAGATTTTTATACTTTAGCTTAGAAATACAGTGGTACCTCGAGTTATGAACTTAATTTGTTCCAGAAGGCTGTTCAAGTGCCGATACCTAACGAATTTGTTCCCATTATGAATAATATAAATTAGATTAGTCCGTTTCAGACCCCCAAAAATACACTTACAAAAGCACTTACAAAAATACACTTACATAACTGTTCGAGTTGGGAGCTGTTAGAAACTCGAGGTACCATTGTATAGGGAAGGTCAAGGACAAGTGTCATCCCTGGAGAAGTGAGTTTAGAAGAGAAGAAAGAGTAAGAAGTTACTGAAATTAGGATTACAGATCATAGGTAGTAGGTTGGTAGACAGCAACTGCCCAGGGAGGTACTACTGTCCTACCAAGTGAGTGTAAAACGAAAGCCTGTAATTGTTTTACATGATGGTAGGATTGCTGGTGTCCTTTTTTCTGTCTCACGAAAATGCAAGATTTCAGGTACGTCTTGCTACTTCTACTTACACTTAGGTCACACTACACATACATGTACAAATATATATATACACACACCCCTCTGGGTTTTCTTCTATTTTCTTTCTAGTTCTTATTCTTGTTTATTTCCTCTTATCTCCATGGGGAAGTGGAACAGAATTATTCCTCCGTAACCCATGTGTGTTGTAAGAGGTGACTAAAATGCTGGGAGCAAGGGGCTAGTAATCCCTTCTCCTGTATAGATTACTAAATCTAAAAAGAGAAACTTTCGTTTTTCTTTTTGGGCCACCCTGCCTTGGTGGGATATGGCCGGTTTGCTGAAAGGAAGAAGAAGAAAGCTTACAGATGTTAAAAAGAATTTTGTCTCTTCTTAACCCACTTCTCCAGTGCAGACATCCATATTTTACCTTTCTATACAGCATTTCTAATTAACAGAATCTTAATAACACCACTCACTTGTCATTTAATCAAACTAACATACAATAAAGCAATCTGATTCATATTATGGTGTACTTGTACTGATACTTCTGATATTTATTCTATTAAAGCATTCAGATATTTCTATTAAAGCAATCTGCTTCATATTATGGTGCTTCTATTGATACTACAGATGCTTATTCTATTTCTTGTTCATCTCACCCCCCTCTAATATGCTGATGACACTGGCAGCTCCTCTTCACACATGTGACAGACATTTTCTGTCATGTTAAGTACCACAGTCATTTCAAAGGAATTTTTTTTTGCAAATACAGCAATCTATACCTTTTCAATTTTTCACAGATGTCACTTTTATCAACCATTACACATATTATTTCTGTAGCTCTTTGCCTTCCCAGTATACTATCATTTCTCTAATCTTCAGAACCTGTGTCTTGGCCTGACCTTGATTTTCTCATGTTCCATTGCCCTAATCTGACTTCTGGCTTTCTTCCCTCTTCTTTCTTGTTCACACCCTGATAATGGTCCAGGATGGACTGAAACAGACAAGTTTTCAATTCCAATTCGTGGATCAGATGTCAATTGTTCATTCCACTGCATGTACTGTGACTTTTATTCATTTTTCTTTTAATTGCAATATTTCATTTCTCAGTATTTTTATTTCAACATGTTTAAAGGCCATTCTTGGTTCAACCACCCATCAAAACAAATTTACAGTTATGATGCATATCCTGCTATCTTCAAAACATGATAAAATTACGAATACAACTGTGCATTTTTGTCTATCTGTTTGTTTATCCATATCTGATGCCTTGCTCCCACTGGGAAATGCCCATCCTTGAAGTATGGTGGACACATGTAGAACATCCCTTCAAAATTTCGAAGAAAACAACAGAGCACCCGAAATAATTTTCTGAGAATTCTATATGCAGCTCTGAACAGTGTAAGAGTAATGAAGAAGCCACTTACTTACAGTGAGAAACAGAATATGTGGAAAGTGGAAGGACTGCCCTCAGCAAGCATATAAGTGATAGTAGGAGAGAAGTAAGACAGAGAAGTAATGGCAAGTTAGAAAGACACAAATGAGGGTAAAACACACACCAAAAAATGATAAAGAATGAAAAAAAGTATATTGAAAGGGGTGATCAGAAGTTGCAATAAAGGTAGCAAACCATCATGCAGTGTGATTGTAGCCAGAGAACAGAACCATTAACAAAGTTAAGGGTGTCCTCTTATGCTTCCACACCCCTATCCCTTAAAAGAAGTGTTTCCACTGGCAACCGAGGCCGCTACTAACTGGATGACATCTTTTCTTAAGCTATTGCTAATTGTCATATAATAAAGGTTTCAACTCCCCTTTAAAATTAATACCATACTGAGTGTGAGTGTCACCGAATGCTAAACTTCTTACCCTTTTCTTTTTTTCATCCCGTTTCCCATCCGTCCCAAGAAGTTGCCGTTGAAGAGCCTCTTGCATCTGTCAACAAAATGACAAGTGTTAGGCACTTAATGCTCTGATTATGCAATAATGCAATGCTACGTGAAGTATCCAGAATGGTATGCAAAACTGTCCGTGGCAGGAATCTTTAATACAGAAATAAAAGGGAATGTCTCTTGTCTAGACCCATGAAGACTACAAATAACATCCCACCCATATCAACTAAAGCACATACATCACCAAAAATCTCTTCCCTATCATTAATCTACTTACAGTAATCATAATATCTCTGTGTCCTTGTAAAATACAGTGCAGTATAAAAAAAAAGTAAAATGAATGATACATAGTTCATTCAGTGGAGCCTTAAAAAAAAAAAAAAAAAAAAAAAAAAAATGCAGCCACATTCTAACATTGAAACTGGTGAAATTAGCAAATGAAGGGTGGTTGTGGGAAGGTTATAATTGAAGATAATCAATTGTTTGGTAAAAGTGGAGCAATTAAGAAAGCCAGAAATACATACAAGGTCATAGTGTAAAAAAAAAAAAAATGAGGTATTCCAATAAAGCACAGATGTCAAAGGGTATGACAGAACTGTTTACAGGAACAGAATTCTTGCCAGAAATTTATGAAGATGTGCCGCAATAGTCTCAATCCAGACAAATTTAAATTCATGGACGTTCATTCTTGGTTTTATACTTTATTTTTAATAAAAAAATAAATCACCCAGTTGTACACACCTAGTGGTGTTTGCAGGGGGCATATGATAGCTCCTGGTTAAACTTCTTCAGTGCTAACATCCAACTTTCTTGATTCTAAATTTCTTAGGTCCTATCATACCTACTCTTGAAGCTATGTACAACATGGAATTTGCTTACACTTCTTCATTTAATTTGTCTGACTTATTCACAATCTTACTCTTAACAGTTATTTAATATGGTCCTTGTGGGCCATTTGCATCTTTAACTGTCATCTATTCCATCCAACTGTTCCTTACATCTCAAACTACCTTTTCCTATCCGATGTCCAGTCCCAGAGTACCTTGTACATCAGTACATCCTTTGAGGTTCTCCCTTCCAGGGTTGTTAGTCAAGCCTCCAGAGTTTCAGTACCAATCGTTTTAACAGTGAATCTTTGGATCTACTAGTTTAACAATGCCTCTTCTTCCATATCTTTTTCCCATTAAATTTCATTCACAGACTTATACCAGCGTAACTGACTCTCCTTTAGTCTGGTTTTTACCAAATCTCTCTTCTTTCCATTCTCATTTTGGCCAAGTATCCAAAGCATAGGACTATGTGGTCACTGGCTCTCAGTGGGTCTTTGTACAGAAGTCCATTTCTTTTACTATACATGCTTCACTTTAGATAAAATTCAGGTTCAATCTTGCTGGCTCATCCTCTCCTCTTATCTGTGTTTGGTCTTTAACATGGTGGCTCATGAAATTTCCCAAAATTGATTTAACTCTCCCTAAACAGTTCTGGTCCTATGTGATTTCCAATTCTCCTAAAATATATTTCCATATGATGATTCTCTTAATTTCAAAGCTCATTTGTACATATTTTGTATTTTGTTTTCTTCTTTCATTATCTCTTAAATTAAGTGTAATGTATTTACACTCCCATGTGTGAAACTGACTGCAATACATACTTAACATAAATGTAAATCATAGCAGGTTCAAATAAAGTGCCACCTCACATACTACACATTTTTCTACTCCAGAGCCTGGCTTTGGGCCAGGCTCGTCTGGTGCTTGCCTGGTCAACTTGGCTGTTGTTGCTGGTGGCCCACTAACCCACATAACCATCACAGCCTGGATGATAATCAGTTATCCAGTGCCTTCAAGAAGGGGTGCTGAATTTCCAAAAACAATGAATAATCACATAATTTTTATGGTACCTTTATTTTAACACATTCCTTTCAGCATTACAATATCTGTTTGTATTTGATAAACATACTGACTCTTATGGAAACATTTTTATTTAACTCATTACCTATATCCAGAGAGTGGCCCAAAGAAGACAATACATTTAAATCTCCTTCCTTTCAAATAATACATACAGAAAAAAGGTAACTAGCCGCTTGTTCCCTACATTTCAGCCACCTTTCATGATGCACTTATCAAGAGGGAAAGAATTCTAATCCATTTCACAGGGAGTTGGAAAAGATGCAATATGGAAACAAAAACTATGAGTACCATATTAAGAAATGGAAAAATAAATAAAAACTGAGAGAAATAAGTCCAGAAATTTTGTCAGTGTAAAATGTTTAATAGGAATCTGTTTCACATTCATATGACAAGACAGCAGGACATTACCTTCCTAGAAAGTTCTAAAGTGTAGACCAAGTGTTTGCAATGAAACATATAGTGAAACATTGCATTTATAGATTTAGAAAAGCCATATGACAGAGTGGATAGGGGAGCAATGAGGCAGATGTTGCAAGTGTATGGAATAGGTGGTAAGTTACTAAATACTGTAAAGAGTTTTTATGAGGATAGTGAGGCTCAGGGTGTGTAGGAGGGAGGGAGACTATTTCCCAGTAAAAGTAGGTCTTAGACAGGGATGTGTAATGTCCCCATGGTTGTTTAATATATTTATAGATGGGGTTGTAAAAGAAGTAAATGCTAGGGTGTTTGGGAGAGGGGTGGGATTAAATTAAGGGGAATCAAATACAAAATGGAAGTTGACACAGTAACTTTTGCTGATGATACTGTACTTATGGGAGATTCTAAAGAAAAGTTGCAAAGGTTAGTGGACGAGTTTGGGAGGGTGTGTAAGGGTAGAGGGTTGAAAGTGAACGTAGTTAAGAGTAAGATGATGAGGGTATCAAATGATTTAGGTAAAGAAAAATTGGACATCAGATTGAAGAGAGGGAGTATGGAAGAAGTAAATGTTTTCAGATATTTGGGAGTTGACTTGTCAGCGGATGGGTTTATGAAGTATGAGGTTAACCATAGAACTGATGAAGGAAAAAAGGTGAGTAGTGCGTTGAGGTGTCTGTGGAGACAAAAAAAATGTTATCTATGGAGGCAAAGAAGGGAATGTACGAAAGTATGGTGGCATCAACACTCTTATATGGATGTGAAGCTTGGGTTGCAAATGCTGCAGCGAGGAGGCGGTTGGAGGCAGTGGAGATGTCCTGTCTAAGGGCAATATGTGGTGTAAATATTATGCAGAGAATTCGGAGTGTGGAAATTAGGAGAAGGTGTGGAGTTAATAAAAGTATTAGCCAGAGGGCTCAAGAGGGGTTGTTGAGGTGGTTTGGTCATTTAGAGAGAATGGATCAAAGTAGAATGACATGGAGAGCGTATAAATCTGAAGGGGAAGGCGGGGTAGGGGTCGTCCTCGAAAAGGTTGGAGGGAGGGGGTAAAGGAGGTTTTGTGGGTGAGGGGATTGGATTTCCAGCAAGTATGTGTGAGTGTGTTAGATAGGAGTGAATGGAGACAAATGGTTTTTGGGACCTGATGAGCTGTTGGAGTGTGAGCAGAGTAATATTTTGTGAAGGGATTCAGGGAAACCGGTTAACCAGACTTGAATCCTGGTGATGGGAAGTACCATGCCTGCACTTTACAGGAGAGATTTGGGATACTGACAGTTTGGAGGGATTACCTCTAAACTGTCGTATCTGAGCACCTCTGCAAAGACAGTGATTATGTATGAGTGAGATGAAAGTGTTGAATGATGATGAAAGTATTTTCTTTTGGGGATTTTCTTTCTTTTTGGGTCACCCTGCCTCGGTGCGAGACTACCAAAGTGTTGAAAAAAATATATATATATAAATCATGAAAAAACTTTAAAACACTTAAAATTTGGGAAAGTTTCCAGACATAATGGAGAGATGCTGTGCTCACAGAGAATGTAAACATACCATGTGGGGTGTGGTGACTGTATTACAAAGTCACGTGGGGGTATAGCCATATAGCGAATTTTGGACATAATTTGTTATGTCCATATCAGTGGAATGTTGTAAGGCAAAATGCTGTAAAGCAGGGCCCTACTGTACAGCAAATTACTTAAGTGCCTTTTCTGCAATATTTTAACATTATTCTGAGTTGATAGACACTCAGACAATCCCCCTATTAGTACATTATATCAAAGGTTTACTATATTGTACAGAAAACCAGAGGGGTGTTAATGTTGCAGTTTAAAAACTGTAGTGTAAAGCACCCTTCTGGCAAGACAGTGATGGAGTGAATGATGGTGAAAGTTTTTCTTTTTCGGGCCACCCTGCCCTGGTGGGAATCGGCCAGTGTGATAATAAAAAATATATATAATAAACCAAGACATAATCTGCTGTAAACATGAAAATGTTTACGTATAGGCACTGGAAGACATAAAAAGATAAATATGTACTGTGCTTATGGGAGATTCTAAAGAAAAATTACAAAGGTTAGTGAACGACTTTAGGAGTGTGTGTAAAGGTAGAAAGTTGAAAGTGAACATAGAAAAGAGTAAGGTGATGAGGGTACCAAATGATTTAGATAAAGAAAAATTGGAGGAGTATGGAAGGAGTGAATGTTTTCAGATACTTGGGAGTCAACGTGTCAGTGAAAGGATTTATGAAGGATGAGGTTAATCATAGAATTGATGAGGGAAAAAAGGCAAGTGGTGCATTGAGGTATAAGTGGAGACAAAAAAAACGTTATCTATGGAGGCAAAGAAGGGAATGTATGAAAGTATAGTAGTACCAACACTCTTACATGGTTGTGAATGCAGCAGCGAGGAGGCGGTTGGAGGCAGTGGAGATGTCCTGTCTAAGGGCAATGTGTGGTGCAAACATTATGCAGAAAATTCGGAGTGTGAAAATTAGGAGAAGGTGAGAAGTTAACAAAAGTATTAGTCAGAGGGCTGAAGAGGGGTTGTTGAGGTGGTTTGGTCATTTAGAGAGAATGGATCAAAGTAGAATGACATGGAGAGCATTTAAATCTGTAGGGAAGGAAGGCAGGATAGGGGTAGTCCTTGAAAAGGTTGGAAGGAAGGGGTAAGGGAGGTTTTGTGGGCAAGGGGCTTGGACTTCCAGCAGGCATGTGTGAGCATGTTCGATAGGAGTGAGTGGAGACGATTGGTATTTCGGACCTGATGATCTGTTGGAGTGTGAGCAGGGTAATATTTAGTGAAGGGATTCAGGGAAACCAGTTATTTTTATATAGCCAGACTTGAGTCCTGGAAATGGGAAGTACAATGCCTGCACTCTAAAGGAGGGGGTTGGGATATTAGCAGTTTGGAGGGATATGTTGTGTATCTTTATAGGTATATGCTTCTAAACTGTTGTGTTCTGGGCACCTCTGCAAAAACAGTGATTATGTGTGAGTGAGGTGAAAGTGTTGAATGATGATGATAGTATTTTCTTTTTGTGGATTTTCTTTCTTTTTGGGTCACCCTGCCTCAATGGGAGACGGCCGACTAGTTAAAAAAAAAAAGTACAAAGGATGGTGTACTTTCCCAGAGATAATAAAAGACCTACCACTAGATATCTTTCTCAGTTTTTCCATATGTAATCATCTCCAACTATAACTTTACAAACTTACAAACCACTCAGTGGATTAACTTGCAGAAAAGACTAGCCTGAACAAAGACAGATGATATAAAAATTAAGGATGGGCAATGGGGATATTAATACCAGATGAAATGTCAACAAAAGTGCAATACTTACAGAGGCCAAGACATCCCGTGGTTCCCCAGGCTGTCCATAAAGACTCTGGAGAACTTCTAGACTAGGAGTGAGACCTGAGCCAAGGCCCCCACTGAGGTTCTGTGGGAAGTCGAAGGGTGGTACTCCACTTCGGGAAAGACTCAGGGAACTGGGGTGGGATTCCTTGAGCTCTCTTTTGTCTACACCTTTGGATGCTTGATTCAGATATTAAAAAAAATATCTAGTTAGTTATATTACTGTAAGCATAAATTACAGGAGGAGGACTGGGAGTTGTAAGTATTAATTACTATACTTAATGTTTAGAAAACAGACATTAGAAATAATTAAAAAATTCAATATCAAGAATATGAGACAGACTTTCACATGTCATATACAGTATGACTGCAACATAATAACTTTAACAAAAATATTGTAAAATTCTCAAAACACCCCAACTAGTAATGTACTCACAAGGTTTCAAAGACGGAGCTTTCATGGAGAGATTTAATGGTGCATCGTCAGCAGAAGTTGGAGTCCCAGATCCACATGGCTCAATAGATACACTAGCACTTTCCTCACGCCAGGCTGCACTGCTTGGGACACCATTCGACAATCGAGAATTTCCAGAGCCAACCGTCGAAATGGAGACCTTAGGCTCCGACTTGTCCCGGTGAGGTGGCGCACTCCCATGAGACTGGGAACTCCCCTTTCCGGCCGGCGAGATGGGAATAATTTCTAATTCCTTGTTTCGGATGGCCTTGGAGATGGACACACTCCCATTACTTGCTAGTTTCTCGGCAACCCGCTGCACACAAATGTTTGCGTGCCACGGACGGGTGTATGCGCAATGGAGTGTACATTCCGGCGTGCACACAACAGCGCAGGCAGACAGGAAGGCAGGAAGGTGACAGGTGTGGAAAAGAGAGTAAAACAACAAACTAATACATAAAACTCAATACACACAACAACAGCATGCCATTCCGAAGTTCAATTCAGGTTTTAAGATTATCAAAGGGAACCAAGTATTGGAATCTCTACCTACATAGCAATATTTGAAAAAGGATGTAAACAGCATGCAAAAATACATTCCTATACAGAAAACTACAATTGATAGCCTTCAAAATATATTGAAGACAAACTAAAGTAAATGTGAAATTCAAATATTGTAGGTGTATTATTTTACTAGTGTTCTGTAACTGTAAATATTTATATACTGTAGATCTATTTTTTTGACCTCAACAGTTGCCTTCTGCTTAGGCAAGGTGATCAGTCTTATTAAAACACAAACTCTTACGGGGTACCAAGATAAACAATATCTCCATAATCACTCAAATTGAAACAAATCAGATACAGAACACTAAAAATTACAAAAAAAAAAAAAAATTAGATAATAACATCAGTAGATAAGAAGACCATCATCAAGCTCTACTGCAACTGTGATGGGTGATAAATGTTATTTCCTAGCCTATGGACCAAATCATTATAACTGAATGCTCAAGCCCTATAAATTCTGCTTTGCATAGAGCATTAAACATCAAACCATGATATATTACAATTAAAATAAGGTATAAATGACTTAATGATTAGCAAAATTGATTTTAAATACAGTATTAATTACTGCAGCCTTTATACAATAAAATAAACCACATATAGCATGACTGATATAGTAATATTTAATTTAAATTAGTATCTAATATAAAGACAAACCAGCCAATCTTATTCCAATACCCAACAATAACCATTGTAGGGAGCACAGCAGATACTCATAATTCGTGCAGCAATAACTCTCCATTTAAATTTTGTTTAAAGTACCATAAATAGCAGGGAAATAACCACTTTGATAAAGAGCTGGATATTTCCTCTTGCCTAGAGCCTCATTTAATGGCCCTATACTATTTAAGAAAAAAAGCCTTGTTGAACCGTATGATGGTGTGAGCAGGACAGAAAGCCTTCAATAGTATGTTCATGTTGTTGTGGCTGGTTCTCTGGTTTAAAGTGCTCATTGGGCTGTATAAAGTAGAGCTCAGTGGTGAAAGTGCATCTCCTACCATACTACTGCTGGAAATTTCCCTGCACAGATGGAAGGAATTATTTCTGAAGTCTAAGCAAGTGTTTAATGTTGATGAAACAGGTGTATTTTAGACGTCTTTGTCTAGAACTTGCATCACCACGAAACAAGAGAAAACTGCACCTTGATTTAAGGCAGTGAAGGATCATCTTAGCTTGCTTTGGTGTGCTGATGGATCAGGTGATTTTAATTGCTAGCCTATGCTTATTTATGAAGAATTATTTTATTCCCCGAGTCAAAATGTATCTGGCTAGAAAGAACCTTTCATTCAAGATTCTCTTCAATCTTGATAATTCTTGATGTTATCCTCAATTCTTGCAGGATGCAGATTCAAATGTACGTAGAGGCAATGTTTTAGCCACCAAACATGATATCTTAAATACAAACAGTAGATCCACTTACACTTGTAAAACCCAGCTATCCATTTCAGTCCCAACCTCCACAGAAATCCATCTCAGTCAACCAATCAAAGCTATTAACCTCAGTCTAGTAGAGCAACAGTAACCCTCTCCACTGACATCAAAGGTGCAACAGGCAAGAGCCGCATTTAAGGAACCGGTACAGGAAGAAAAATTATTTCATGTAATCATTTTATTTAAATGTTCTTTTGTTTGACCCTCCATATCAGAAATGAATGTAAGAAAAATTGTTTCATGTAACTTATTTTTGGAAACCTGTAAAGCCATATTGTTTGACTTTTATTTAGTTATCCTAGATTAAATTTACATAATAAACCAACCTTTTATATGCTCATAGCATTTGTAAATCCCCAAGACACTTTTCTAGACCAACAAGCAATGACATCTATGTAAGGTATCAAGAATGTAACTATATTTTTCCTTGCATTATTCACATGAAAAATCATGATTTTGTAAGTAACACCAATGACAGGAACCTAACCCGTGCAAATTAAGAGAACCTACCGCATAAAGATTTTGGGGGCAAAATACTCATAGGTCACGATCAGGGTCACACACAAATCATAATTACATCTGTATTACTACTACTCTAACAAAATGTGACTGAACATTTGTGGCGTGTCAAACTAAATGTTTTTTTTACCTCATTAGCTATTTCCCTCCAATGCAAGGTGAAGAAAATAAAAGAACATATTCACCATTATTCATTCAATAATTGTCTACCAGAAGTGAATGGACACTACAATTCAAATGGAGAGAGATGATGTATAACTGACATTATGGTTGAAGCAGACACAATTGCAGAACAAAACTATTACAGAGAAAATGGGTTGCCTATACAACAGGCTTTTTCAAGTCAATACAAAATGATACACAGCAAGCATATTTATACCAGCACGAGGTCAGCTGTGAACAGGTGAGCAGTCGGGGAAGGTGAGGTATGTGATCACTGCATGGGTGGCAAGTGGTGGAGTATTGCAAGGGGCCAGTACTCCACCACTTGCCACCTCATACTTCATCTCCCCAACTACTCACCAGCTCATACCTAACCTGATCCTAATATAAATATTCTTGCTCTTTATCATTTTGCAGCAATCTGAAAAAGCCTCCTGTGCTGACAGTTATCTCAAAAAAGTTTTGCTCTACATTTGTGTCTATTTAAAACAAAAGGCAAATGAGCCTTAAAACTAACAGCCCCACCAACCCTTCAGAGTGCAAGCACTGTTCTTGCCTCCAGAATTCAAGTTTGGCTAACTGATTTCCAAAATCCTTTCATAAATGTTACCCTACTTACACTCCAACAGCAAGTCCAATCCCAAAAACTACTCCTCTCCATATATCCATCTAACACACCTCCTTCACGTCCTATCTTCAACCCTTCGTGGAATGTTTCCTATCGCCCCCCCCCCCTTCCATCACACTCTTCCTCTTCCCAACTGCACCCATCCTCCTATAACCACAAACTGAGCACTCTGGCACTGCATTCTTAAATATGCACCATACCTCCTCAACCACCTTCTCATTACCTACACAGTTGGTTTTGCCTCCCCCCTAACTCTCCAATTCTTTGATTAATTCACTTTCACTTCCTTTACCCACTGATACTGTAGCTATCACAAAATAATTATCTGACATATCAGTCACTTCTCTACAGACATGCACATCAGTCTTTAATCTACACATACTGCACATAATACAGCAAACTGTCATCACTGCCCAATGGTCATTATTCCAAACTTACCTACTATGCCCTCTAGAACAGTCTCCTAAAAAAAATTATTCTTTCTTTTACCTGGCTCCTTAAACTTTCACTCTGCACTTCTTGAAATCCCTCTTTATCATCTACACCCATCTCTATACATATTTTTTTTAACACTGTGGCCATCTCCCACCAAAGCAGGGTGACCCAAAAAAAGGAAAAACTTTCACCATAATTCGTATCTGTGCACCTCTTGCCAAAGGTGCACAGATATGACAGTTTGGATGTCACTCTCAACAGCAAATATCCCAAACCCCTCCTTTAGGGTGCAGATATTGTACTTCCTACATTCAGTGCTCAAATATGACCAACAGGTTTTCCTGAATCCCTTTAAAAAATATTACCCCTGTTCACACTCCTACAGCTCGTCAAGTCCTTAAAACCATTTGTCACTACTCACTCCTATCTAGCATGCTCACACATGCCTGCTGTATGTCCAAGCCCCTTACACATAAAACCTTCTTTACCCTTCTCCCTCCATCCATTCCTAGGATGACCCCTACCCTTCCTTCCCTCACTACAAATTTATACGCACTCCAAGTCATTCTACTTTGCTCCATCCTCATTAAATAACCAAACCACCTCAACAACCCCTCCTCAGCCCTCTGAATAATATTTTAAGTAATTTCACACCTCATCCTAACTTCCACACTATGAATTCTCTGCATAATATTCATGCCACACAATGCCCTTAAACATGACATCTTCACTGCCTCCAGGCTCCTTCTTGCTTTAACATCCACAACTCATGCTTTACACCCATATAACAGTGTTGGTACCACTATACTCTCATACATTCCCTTCTTTGCTTCCATGGATAACATTCTTTGTCTCCACGGATACCTCAATGCACAACCAACCTTTTTCCTTTCAACAATTCTATAGTTTACCCAGTCCTTCATGTACCCATCTGCCAATACATCCACTTCCAAATATCTGAACACACTCACTTCTTCCATACTCCCTCCCTCCAATCTAATATCCAATTCTTCCTTACCTGACTCTTTTGATACCCCTCATCACCAAATATATCTACTCTAAATATTCCACACATACTGATTACTCCCTGGCTCCATTTCACACAATAAATACTGTGTTCCTTTACTTTATCATATACACTTCATATCTTGTCATCTGTACACCTGGCTAGGATGTACAAGAGTTGGTCCATAGACTATTAAACAACCCTATGCATTTTCCTACATCAGCAAGAATAATAAAGAGAGAATAAATAAATTCAAAATTACATTGTACATTCATGTAAATGTGATAAAAGTTAAATTCATCTATTTAAAAGAGCATAACAAGATCCAAATGGAGCAAGATGAAGCAGAATAATATGAAGTTGCAAACATTAGATATATCCTATACAAAATATTTTATTATGTATACATTTAATAAATGTAGTACAGTACTTCAAAAACATATAACCTTCACAAATGGCAATACTGATTTACAAATAATGTTATGATGAACTTAGTTTGCTAAAAAACTTTCATATTTATTTTTTCTTACTTTGTAAAAAGATAATGCTGCTCAAAATTAATAAGCAATTATAA